AAAATATAAATAACATCCGTTATGCTGACGATACAGTCAGTATCGCCAAAAGTGTGACAGACCTGCAAACGTTACTAAACACAATTTGTGATACTGAAGTACAGTTTGGTTTAACAATAAACATAAAGAAAACAAAAACCATAGTTATCAATAAGAGGGGTAAAGTCATTACAAGGATCCAGATAAAAAATGGAGATACTGTGCAAGTGGACAAAACGAAGAGAAACCCAGGACGACGCAAAATGTCTGGCTAAGAAATTTGAGAGAGTGGTTCCGGCTGCAGCTCATTAGAATTATTCAGAAATGCGGCCAACAAAGTTAAAATAGCGATGATTATTCCAACCTCCGCTAGGAGAAGGAACCCGAAGAAGAAGAAGAAGGACAAAACGAAATACTTAGAAATTTCTGAGTAACCAAAGACTTAATCTGCAAATCCGATATCGGAAGGTAAAATGTTATATCCACTCTATTTTTCTTTATGGTCTCGAAGCCTGGACTGTTAATGGTGACTTAATGAGAAATCTGGAAGCTTTTGAGATGTGGCTTTTTGGGAGAATTTTGAAGAAACCATGTACCGATCATATTACGAACGAAATGGTGTAGCACAGAATGGGAAGAGACAGAGAACTTTTGACTACCATTAAAAGGCGATTAAATTCACCAAGGACCTAAAGTAAAGTTCAAATCTTCTTCTGTCTTCTTTAGCTTAATCTTAGTAGCTTTATCTTATTTAATTTAAAAACATTGTTTTTTAATCGTTAATGAAGCGATTATGACAAGAAGAGCGCTCGGACTGCGACGTGTATAAGAGATATAAATAAGATCGAGGCACAAATTTTCGCTGGTTTGAATTTTCATGGTACAAATGGTTGTTAAAATTTGAAAAAAATTATTTAAAAAAATTTGAACAACTCTTCACCTAGGCGATTTCTCTAATCTTATTTTGGAGTATCTCATGAAATTGATTATGCAAAAAAAAATCTCATGTGAATGCTTTCCTAAACAAACCTAAGCTTTTTGCCTTATCTAGAGTTGAAAAGTAACTCGAAAACAAACAAGTACCATTGCTACAAATTAAAAAAACTCTGAAAATTTTCCCCGCTGATTATGAACGACGGATGGTGTTTTATGAGCATATAATGGAACGCACTATAATCATGACAAAAATTTTATTAAAAAAATCTCGTTTACAGATAAGTTTTTTTTTTGTTTAACTGGTCATCACAATCCATTTGTTACCGTAGGATACTTTATAGAAAATAGGTACAAGGGTTTCTTTATAGCTTTTCCTTACAAATGATAATACCATCAAAAAGTTGAAGCCTGGGCTGTTATTTTAGGTAACAACGTAATGAGCCTATTTTTATTGCGGGCTCTTTGTGTCGTCGTTAATACCTAGACCTTCTAAGAAATCACGTAATTGCAGTAGTTCGAGCATTACCTATTAATATGTATGAAATTTAGTTGCAGCAAGACAGCTGTCTAGGAACGGAAGGCGTTAAATTTTTTAAGCATTTACGTTTCTAGATAAAGTTATTAAACAAAAAATACCACAAAAATGCCACCTTGCTCTCCTGATCGCGCACCTTTGGACTTTTTCGTATTGATCAAAAGACTGATATTTTTGTACACACTTATGACAAGTCGAAAGAAAATGTAAAAAGTATTTTTGAAGTGTGTATATTTTAGGCAATTCCTAGCTGAGCGCTTTCGGCTTTACAAAGCCATCATCAGAGCTATGCTACAATAAAATGTTCTTATAAGTACTAATTGGTAAAGATATAATTTTAACTTACGTCAATTTTTTAAATACCACTACAAAGGAGAGATCTCATTTCCTTATATTTCCAAATTATGATTTTTTGTTGAAATTCTTAGAACATATAAAAAAACATATAAAAAGCCGACACTGGACTTCACAAACACGTTAAAAAAAATTGAAAAAATTTTTGTCATGGTGCGGTGTAAGAACCCGACCATTGTTTGATCTGAGGAGGTAGGCAGAATAGAACTAATGAAATCAAATGTCGGTCCTTTTAAACGATTTTTCAAAAGTGACAGTTGACAAATGTCATATATAGGAAATAGAGATTGTTTTTTAAATTCTTACAAAAATTATTTAATAGTTTGGAATTACTAATAGTCATCAAAGACTTTCTAAAAAATTAAGTTTTAAATTAAATTTTATGTGTTCATCACATCATACAGATGACATTAGTTTGTAAATTCACTCAAGTCATTGCTCAAGGTCAATGTATGTTCAATCTGACAGCCATCCTTAAGAAACAAGGGCTCAAATTGTTCAAACAAATATAAAGAAAAACATGGTATTAATGTTAGTTATCTGATACTTAAGTGTATTGGAAATTGTATCTCTTGATGAAATTTGTAAGAAATTTGCATAAAAATTTTTTAAGAATGTATTTTCATGTTTCAATTAAGAATAACTGTCAAATGAATTACAAAATGTTGTAAATTTCTAATAAAGTTTAAAATTTGTTTAAAAATATAAAAGTATGAAAAAATATATAATAAGATTGCATGAGGTCACCCTTCTTCCTCTAAAGTCTCCCATAATAATTTAAAAAGAGGTTTATAATTGCAATTGAGGTTGATTTGTGTGTTTAAGCAACATCAGGGTTTAGTTTCATTTCTTTGGATATCTCAAGATCTTCCAAGAGATTCATGAGTCTAAAGTTTTTATTGGGAATGTTGTGTAAAATTTTACTGTTTTCAGAAGGAGAAAAGGAATGATTATTAAATTTAATGTGTATATCCAAAGTTTGATTTTTCTGGTTATTGAGTGTTCTTTGATTCTTTGATTCAGAGTTCTCATTGTTCTACCTACATAATCATATTACAGTCACCACGGACAGCTTGTAAATACCACTTCTGTTTAGTTTTTCAACTTTGTCTTTGGTCTTGCTGAAGATGGACTTGATGTTATATTTGGTTTTTAAAGGAGATGTTTAAGTCACTGATTTTATTAACAAGTACTCTTGAAATTTTTTCTGAAATTGGTCCTAGGTAAGTTAAGGATCTATATATGGACGTAGTGGTTTGGATTTTTTATCAACATTAAAAAGCTAGGTTTAAGTCTCTTTTTGAGTATAGATTTTCTAATGACTTTATCAATAGTAGTAGAAGGAAAACCATTGTTAGTTTGCTATCTGTTTAATGATGGAAATTTTCTTATTGTAATTTTCTTGAGACATAGGGATATTAAGAAGTCTGTGGACATAACATTGGAATAGCTGCCATCTTGTGTTGAAAAAAGGGTGATTTGAGGATGTTGGTATCATATGGTCCATTTTGAGTAGGTTTTCTGAATATTGAAAATTCTAGTGTGTAGGCAAAGAAGAAGAGGAGGAAGCATTCTTTTTGATAGTTAGGTCTAAAAAGTTAATAATGTTTGTTGCTTTTCTACTTCTAAGGTAAAATTAATTGCAGATGTAGATTATTAATTATTGACAAAATATTGTGAGGTTCTTGAAGGTGGGCCTTCTATAAAGGCTAAAAATGTCATCTACATATCTGTACCATAGGTTATTTGTGGTTGAGAAAGAACAAAGTTAGTTTCAAGAGAGTCTAAAAACTCCACTTCTCTACTCAATTTTGCTTTCCCAAGATTTCTTATCTTTAACGATAAAAATTTAATAGACAACCAGAGGGTTTAGCAATGGAAATCGTTATCTCCTCTACTTGCAGATTTTTTTCTAGACTCTCTTGAAACTAACTTTGTTCTTTCTCAACCACAAATAATCCTATGGTACAGATATGTAGATGACATTTTAGCCTTTATAGAAGCCCCCTCAGAACCTCACAATATTTGTCAATAATTATTAATCTACATACCTGCAATTAATTTTACCTAGAAGTAGAAAGCAACAACATTATCAACTTTTTATCTTATCAAACAATCATTTAGGCCTTTCAAAGCATAACAGCGGACATGTTGTCAAACACCCGAACAGAATTATAAAATAGATGTGTCTAGTGCTTAGAAAGTAAGGATTTGTATAATATAAAATTGAACTCTGGTTTCCAGGTAATTTAAATTGTGTAAAAATGAAAGCTGTCTATTCAACTTAAGAAAAACAAGGGTCGTTAAAGGTTTTTTGACCAAGGAATTTGATTGTTTTTTTTAGTAAAAGAAAGCATAGTGAGTCATAAGGAAATTTTTACTGAAGAAATAGAGGAGATGGTAAGATATGTTTGTTTTGAGTAATATGATTGATTCGAGAGAGACATTTTAAAAAGGAAGAGAAAAGTGCAGTTAGTTTGGTTTTTTGGAGAAAGAAAACAAGAAGAAGTCTAAGATAGCACTACAAGAGAAAAGGTTATTCCTGTGATAAGAGAAAATGTGTTTTTACGTTGAGAGATGAAGTAGTGATCGTGAAAAAATGTTTGTGAATTTGTTTGTGACAGCATAAAACCTGAGTGTAGCAGAGATCTTCAAATCCACAATTTGTAAGTTTTTATTTTAATTTAAAAATTATTTGAGGCGAGGCCGCATATGTTTGGTATCGAAAGTAAACGAGATCAGGAGAGTTAGAGAAACAGCATAACGAGAAACAACTTAAAGTTTAATTTTCTTTTATTGAAAACAAAGATATACCTAGAGGTTCGAAGCAAATTTTTGTTTTGGATATTTGATTGAATAGACACAAATACTCGTTGATAAGCACAACTGCTTGAAAAGCAGATTCTTAAGATCAAATTAAAAAATTAAGTGAATAGAGGTACTCTTTTAAAATAATTATTTATCTTTAAATTACACATTAAAGGTATTTTCTTAATTATATAAAAGAAATATTCAAATCTTGTACCACAAGCCATAGATAAAATTGTAATCATTCTTATCCATATAACTACATTAAATTGTGGTCAAAAACGGAAATTTTATTGCATTATACTCATTACAATAATTTTAAACAGTATTTTAACGAATTACTATAATTTTGCTTTTCATTTAAAGGTGAAGAAGTAATCATAACATTACGACTTTTATCTTTATCTCTCTTTGAATAATCATAAATAATTACTAACACCACTCGCAATAAGATTATTCAGTATTTATTAGTGACCCTCGAAATGATGTTATTGAAATGGTGCTGTTGTGTTATACTGATTATTTTGTTATCTTTCGTAGATCAGAGTCAGTGTATTTTTTGTAAGTATTTAAATTTTTCTGAACATAAGGAGTGCAACTTTTGCTTGGTTTTTCATATTTAATCTTTCAATTTTTTATTAAAGTACAGTCAAATAGAAATTATTGTATATCAAACTGTTGATATAAAATAATTGAAGTTATTTTATGGATTTTAAATATAATAATATGTATTATTTTCAGCTTCTCGTTCATCTAGTTCAGGATCCAGAGGCAGTTCATTCGGTTCACGTGGTTCTAGTTCTTTTGGATCTGGATCTCGAAGCTCCAGCTCTTGGGGATCATCTGGATCATCATTTGGATCTAGTGGATCACGTGGTAGTACATTTGGATCTAGTGGATCACGTAGTAGTACATTTGGATCTGGATCGCGAGGTTCAAGTTCCTTTGGATCATTTGGATCGCACGGAACTTCATTTGGATCTGGATCTCGTGGTTCGAGTTCATCATTTGGATCTTCTGGAAGTTACGGATGGAAAGTCACTGCCAAACCAGTTACTTCGAGACCCTTTACTAATTTTAAGCCTGTTACCAGTAGATTTCAATCAGTAACTACTAGGGTAAAACCTGTTTCAAGTGGATTCCATACAGCTGCACCTTCGCACAGAACTTATTCTAGACAACCGGCCTTTAATCCGAATTTTAATGCCGCTCCAAGTAAAGTTACCCCTTCTCCTGGAGTTCGCCATGCCATTACCAAACAACCAGCGTATAATCCCTTCTTTACAACATCTTCTCACTTAAGTGCCCCTAAGAAGCCCCAAAATAATCCATTCTTCACTTCTTCACCTAATCACGGAAATAGTCAGTTTGGTCGTCCGACATCTAGGCCAGTTTTTCAGAATCCACACCAGAGAAATAATGCATCTGGTTTTAATAATTTTGCATCACCAAAGACTGGTTCTGTCTTTAATACACAACAAAATCATGGATCATCTTTTAACAGTTTTGGAAGTGCTACGTCAAGGCCACGCTTTAACAGTAGCACTGGATTTAATAACCAGAGACCCGCTTTCTCAAATTCTGGTTCTGCTTTTAATACACAAAACCACGGATCTGGTTTGAATAATTTTGGAAGTGCTTCATCAAGACCACGCTTCAACAGTAGCAATGGATTCAGCCAGCGACCCGTCTTTCAAACACCTTTGGGCAATGGAAACTTGGGACGGCGTAAGTTATTATTTATTATCAACATAAAACGTTACTAAATTGTTTCAAAAAATATAGTGATCGGAAAATATAACAAGTAATGTAAATTTTTGTATTGATGGTTTTTTATTAATTTTGTTATCGTGAATCATTTATTTTTAACTCTCTGTTGGTGTCTACTTTATAGATTTTACAATATTTTTTTTTATTTTAGCGGTGCAACCTTGGCGTCCTGGCAATAGCAGCAGTAACTGTAAGTACAATAGTTATTCAAATATTTTTTAATCAGTGACCAGAGTTTTTAATCTTTCTGTTTTGTCTGTAGTGAAACAATTTATAACGAGTTTGTTATATCTAAATCAAAAAATGTAAAATTTTGTAATGGAAACAATGCATGCAAGAAAAAAAGAATCATACCTAAGCTACCTGCACATATGCATCTACAAAAAATATCTTTAAAATTAAATTTACTACCAAAATGTTAGCTTTTGAAGTGAAAAATAATTTGTTTTGACAAAATCATTTTGAAAAAAACTAAGCAAAGAAAAACATTATTTAAATACCTATACAGACATTTGAAAATGACCTTTGTTCTCTCAAATTGATTCAAAAGATTGTTAAAAACTACTGACGATTGTGCCCTCTTCGCATGAAGTAGCTACATAAAAACTCACTATATTGTTCTGAAGCTATTTTTGTGGCATTGTAAATTAATTACTCTTTAACTGGGAATAAGCCACAATTAAAGATAAAAATACGTTTATTGACGTTTCAATTTCCACTTCGGAAATCGTTCTCAAAATACAAACAGTAAATTAAACAAATTTTGTTTTTTGTTACATAGTGAAAAATTCTTCTAATAATTTAATTTTATCTGACTCATTTATATTGACAATTCAGACATACATTATGCATTTTAAAGTAGACGACTTTAAAATGATATTGCCAATATTGTTGAGTTGCGCTCCTGGGACGACTTTACTTATAAGATAGTTCATTCGATTACATGAAATCAACTTTAACTTGAGAATATCCGTCAGAAAAAAATCATAGCATGTAATTCGTCTTTAAAAAGACAAACACATGACATGATGACAGTAAAATTCTCCTGTTAGTGATTCCATAGTAAATTATGAGGGAAAAACCAGGAAAAAAACCTCATAATACTATCCCGACATGGTAAGTATTTGTTCGTGCATTTAGTTTACCTTCAATAAACACCAAAATTCTGATTTTATATGTTTCGTTATTTAAAAAACATAAATGATGTATCCTCTATATGTTACTGACTTACTAATACTGGTATTTTCTTATTAATAACTTCCTCTTTCAATATTGGTAACCAGATCCTACTACATTCTGCCGAGGAATTTGCGACACAATTGGCCTCATTTAGCATAATTAGAGCCGCTTCTTTGATTTTTCTTTTTTTACCATCCGTTTCTTTTAGGACTACATTTGAATTATTCCATTGAACCCTATGTTCATTATCCCATGCGTGTTTACATATTTGAGATCTATCAAATTCTCTATTTTTATTTAGATTTTTTTATTTAGGTGAAACATCAAGGCCATTAAATGTTAGAATAAGTAAACATCAATCTTATATTAAAAATTTAATTTTCTTCGTTTTTTTTATGTATATTAATGTTGTAAAGTAAAGGATGTAAAGGAGAATGCAGAAACTGCAGTAGAGGAATAAAGGCAAGCTATGCTTAACGAACTTCAAAGAAACACAAGAAATACAGTGAGATTTATAATAAAAAAAGAATACAGGCGACTAGAATATGCAGAAGAAAGAAAAGAGAGGCTATGAAAAAACAAGTACAAGAAATCGTAAAGCATAACAACAGACGCGAAAGCAGAAAATTCTATAAATTCATAAAAGTAAGCACACAGTCATTTTGACCAAAAACTAACGATATGCAAAGACAAGGACGGAGAACTACTAACAGAGAAGAAAAAAATTATAATGAGATGGAAACAATATTTCGAAGAAAATCAAAATGCACACAACGAAAATGATCAGAACGAGACAATATATTATACGGCGTAGCTGCACATCGAAAATCCGAGTTATGAAGAAGTAGTTCAGATAATAAATAAACTAAAAAACAATAAAGCACCAAGAACGGACGGATTTCGGCAGAATTATTAAAGCATGAGGATCGAACTCTTGGGAAACCATTACCTAATAACATTAATATGGACGAAGGAGCAAATGCCAGAGGAATGGACAGTTGGCCTCATACAGCCAATATATAAAAAAGGAGATAAGAGGGAATGCCAGAATTATAGGCCAATTATATTGCTAAATGTAATATACCAAGTATATGACAGTCAAAAGAATACTGACAATGAAAATAATATCAACATAGATAACTATACTATCGAACGAGTGGATGTATTTACATATCTCGTCACAGAAATCAATCAGAAGAAACTCCGTAAGTAGCGAAATTAATGCACATATTTACAGCGGGAATCGTACATACTATGCTAATAAAAGATTGATGATATCGAAATTATTAGACAAAAGAACCAAAATGACTATCTACAGAACATGATTAGACCCGTAGTAACCTATGATGTGAAACTTGGATAATGACGAAAAAAGATGAAGCCCAACTTAGAACATTCGAGAGAAAAATACTGACGAAAGTATATGGCCCGGTACAAGAGGAAGATGGCACATGGAGAATCAGGAGAAAACGACGAGGTTAATGAGTTAAATGAAGGTTATGACATTGTAAGATTTGTGAAAAGTCAAAGACTGTAATGGCTGGGACATGTGAAGAGACAAAACGATGCAAAAACAACAAAGAAAATGTTACAATCAAAGTCCATAAGAAGGCGAAAAAAAGAAAGGCCCAGAACGAGATGGTTGGATGACGTGGAAGACGAGCTGAAAACAATGAACATAAGACAATGGAGAAGAAGGGCACAAGAGAGATCTGAATGAAAGGACATATCCAGACAGGCATAGACCCATCCAGGGTTATGATGCCAAAAGAAGAAGAAAAAGAAATGTTGTAAAAGTTAATAATAAACGACATAATTTAATAAACATGCTTCTCTTCTTTCGATAATTTTTATGTGATTATCTCGTAAGACAGTAAACTTAAAGGATATTAAGATTATACATGTTTTGTTTCCTAACTTATGTAACATTGTTCTCCTTGCAACGGTACAAAATTACAAACGAATCGATAAGTGATTTATTTTATTTAACAGTAACTTTATTTTTATTAGTTTTGATCAGGTGTGTCTGAAGCATATGTTACATAATAATCGTTCGACTTAAGCTATTAACTCCGCAATCTCGTTTCAACACAAACCCAATATTTGAACGTCTAGGCTCTGCATTTCTAGAAGTAATTTTTTATTCTCACCCGCGGATTCTTACCACCGCTGTCCCATGTTAGTACATGCGGAAAACGCGGGACCCATTTCTATGATAATGATACCAGAGATTACTCGTAGATCTTTCACTGCAGTGGTTTTTCGTTGCCTTTGGCATTCACTTTCATCATCATCATCATCCAGCCTCTATTTATTACGTCCACTGCTGGACATAAGGCCTCCCTTAAAACTCCTCCATTCCTTGCGATTTTGTGCTCTTTGTTGCCAATTTTTAGTGATACGCCTGATGTCGTCCGGCCCAATGTGTAGGTGGTCTTCCTCTACTGCGTTTGTCTGCTCTTGGCCCTCCAATTTGTTAATTTTGCTCGTCCATCGTGAATCGTGCATTCTCGCTACATGGCCTGCCCAGTTCCATTTTAGTTCCGCTATGCGTTCCACAACATCAGTAATACTCGTCCTTCTTCGCAGATCTTCGTTTCTTATTCGGTCCCTCAACGTCACTCCCACATAGACCGTTCCATTCGTCTCTGTGCCACTCTTTGTCTTGAATAGTTAAATGTTGTTGGGGACCAAATTTGTCATAAACTTTTGGTTTATGTTCTGTTTTGGTCAAGTTCATTCTCAGGCTCCACCTTCGAACATGCAAAATCCAATTCGTTTATCATATCTGTAGCTTCTCCTAAATTATCTGTGATAAGGACATATGTCATCTGCGAAACGGAGATGGTTAAGCTTTTCGCCGTCTATCATTACTCCTCTGTGGTCCCAATTGATCATCTTAAAGGCATATTCTAATGCCGTTATGAATAATTTCGGCGACAATGTATCTCCTTGCCTTATTCCACGATTATTTTTATTGGTCGGGTTTTGTCTATTTTAACAGTCATAGTGGCATTTTTGTAAATATTATAAATAAGCTCACTATACCTATGGTCAATCCTGCTGTCATTCATTGCTTCTATAAGGCTGTCTAATTCGATCGTGTCGAACGCTTTATGAAAATCTATGAAAGTGAGAACAAGAGGTTTGTTATATTCTATAGATTTTTCAATGAGTGTTTTTACTGTGTGGAGGTGATCATTGGTACTATAATTTGAGCGGAATCCTGCCTGCTCTCTCGGTTGGTGGAAATCCTAATTTTTTCTCCAATCTTGATGTCACTACACTAGTGAAGAGCTTGTATATGTGGTTCAACAGGCTAATAGGTCTATAATTTTCTAGGTCCGTTCTATCTCCTTTTTTATGCAAAAGGATGGTTGTAGCATTGTTCCACTCTTTGGGCACCTCTCTTTGCTGCAAACATAGATTGAATAGTTTCCTTAATTTATTTAATAGCATTATCTCCTCCATTTACGATAGCTTCTATTACGATTCCATCCTCTCCTGGGGCTTTGTTATTTTTCATTTTTCTTAATGCTTGTCGAATCTCATCTAGCTTTATCTCTGGCATTAGTTCGGAAAGTCCTCGTAAAACTCTTCGACGACCTGTATTAACTCGTCTCTACGTGATATTATTTCATTTTTGCTTGTTCTCTTAATTTATGAATTTCGCATTTCCCATTCGTTAGCTTTCTACGTAGAACTTTTTAGGCTGTTATTTTCCTCTATATGTGCGTTTAATATTAATCGGTATAAATTTCCTTAAATCTCTCCTAATTGCTTTCGAAACAGTTTTGTTCATTTTTCTTAAAGTGTTGCTATCTACATTCTTATCGCTTCTCATTTGTCTTCTTTGATCCAAGAGCGTTTCAGTATATGGACTTATTTTACTATCTGATTTTCTTTAGGACAGTGCACTCGGTGACTTTCTTGTAAGGCGTTTATGATGGAGTTTTCAAGTCGTTAATATCGTTAGCTGAGGTTTCCTGCAATAGAAGCTTAATTATTGATATGTGTCTGATATTGGTTGATATCTAATGGGGGTGTCCAGATACCATGAAATTTATTTTAAAATTATATTCCTTTCTCTTTTTTATTGATTTGAACTTCGCTCGTATCATCCTGTGGTCGCTGTTTGTGGTGAACTTGTTGAGTACTGTTACATCTTTAATTATTTGTTTTTGATCACTTATGATGTAGGTCGATTTCGTTCCTTGTTCTACCGTTTGGACTTTCCCAAGTCCATCTTCTGTGCATCTTTTTGTGTCTTTAACTTTCATCATAAAGTCATTAACTTTCATCATAAGTGACTCAATAATCCATAGTGGATTCTTGGCCAGCTCATAAAGAAGTCGTCACTCTTGTCGATTCCCGGCAACTTTAGCAAATCTAAATTTTTGCACTTTAACGAAATTTCACAATATCTGATCGGTGTATAACTGATATAGTTCAAAGTTGTATCTTCGACGCCATGGCCCATTTTCATTTACGGCCCCAAAAAGCTTTCTAAGAATTTTTTTCTCACAAATACCAATAAGTCTTTCATCATTTTGAGATAAGGTCCACGTTTCAGCCCTATATAATAAAACCGGTATTATTAGGGTCTTGCATATATTGAGCTATACTGCACGTTTTATATTTGTATTTTTTAAATGTTTTTGGAGGCGTGAACAGTTCTGTTTTCTATTGTTATGCGTCTTTTTATTTCGTCACTTGCGTGTTTGTTGCGTTTACTAGCGTTCCAAAATATATGAATTCTTTGACTTGCTCAAGGTGTGGTTGTTAATTGGAATTCTCTGTTAAATATTTCAGGAATTTTTAGAAACTAACATATAATTTAGTTTTTCATCTTTTACCACAAGTCCTAAACTACTTGCCGCGTCCGCAAGCCTTGTAAACACTGCACCATGTCTCTATAAACTGCACCATGTCTGCCCACTATACCGTCAGCGAATGCGAGATTTTGAGGCGATCTAATAAAAATGGTTTTATTCATTCTAATATTTAATTTTCTAATTGAATTTTCAAGGCAATATTAAAGACGAAGCACGCCAGCGCGTCCCCTGTCTTAAACCATTATTAATTTCATAGAATGTAGATTTTTATCCTTTAATTCTAACGCATGAGCTTATGTTTTGCATTGTTAGTTTGCGTCAACTTAACTAACTTAATCTATCATTGCATTATATAATGCTGCTTTTTGCTCACTGTCACAGGCTGCTTTGAAGTCGACGAAGAGAGATGGTATCTATATTATATTCTAGAAACTATTCTAGAATCTGCCTGTCTGCTTAAATTTGATGTGTAGTTGACTTTCTAACAGTAAATTCGCATTGATATTGACCAACAATATCCCTATAAAATGTTTAAGTTTTTCAAGCAATACATTGCCGGTTATTTTATACGCAGATGCTAACAGAGTAATGCCTCTATAGTTCTTACACTCCAGTGGATCACCCTTTTTATGCAATGGACATTATTTTTCCTTTCAGCCATTTTTCTGATACCAATTCAATCTGCCATATAAGTACTATGCATTTATGGATTGCTGCAAAAAGATAATCACCACCTTTTCCATACAGTTTCAAACAGATTTAATCTATTTCTGTGACTTTATTATTATTGAGTTTTAGACTTGCATTTGAAACTTCTTGTCTTGTTGAGTCTTCCACTGTGTATATTGTTCTGAAGCTATTTTCTTGTGGCATTTTAAATTAATTACTATTTAACTGGGAATAAGCCACAATTAAAGATAAAAAATACGTTTATTGACGTTTCAATTTCCACTTCGGAAATCGTTCTCAAAATACAAACAGTAATTTAAACAAATTTTGTTTTTTGTTACATAGTGAAAAATTTTTCTAATAATTTAATTTTATCTGACTCATTTATATTGACAATTCTGACATACATTATGCATTTTAAAGTAGACGACTTTATGATATTGCCAATATTGTTGAGTTACGCTCCTGGGACGACTTTACTTATAAGATAGTTCATTCGATTACATGAAATCAACTTTAACTTGAGAATATCCGTCAGAAAAAAATCATAGCATGTAATTCGTCTTTAAAAAGACAAACACATGACATGATGACAGTAAAATTCTCCTGTTAGAGTCACTTCTTTGATTTTACTTTTTTTACTGTCCGTTTCTCTTAGGACTACATTTGAATTATTCCATTGAACCCTATGTTCATTATCTATGCGTGTTTACATATTTGAGATCTATCAAATTCTCTATTTTTAATATGAGATTGATGTTCAGTTATTCTAACATTTAATGGCGTTGATGTTTCACCTAAATAAAACTGATCGCATTCACAAGGTATTTTATAAATGCAATTCTTTGTCCTTTCCTGTTCATTGTTAGGTTTGGTTTTGGACATAATAGATCTCAACGTGTTTGTTGTTTTGAATGTTGTTCAAATGTTGAATTTATTTCCTATCCTTTTAAGTTTTTTCCCTAATCCTTTTATGTACGGTATTGTTATTTTCCTCGTATTATTCCTTGTGTATGCTGTAGGATCTCGTTCTAAGTTGTTCTGTTCTATTCGATCGATTGTTGAAAATTCCTTATTTATAAACGATAAAGGATAATAATTTTTTAATAAAACAGATGTTAACAAATGTTTCTCCTCTAGAACGAATTTTCGTTAGAACAAGTAATTTTGGCTCTATCGTATAAAGATTTAATTATTCCCTTTTTTGCATTAATATTGTGATTTGATTTGAAATTTAAATATCTATTGGTATGTGTTGGTTTCTATACACCTGAGTATCATATCCAGTATCGTTCTTAGAGATTAAAACATCAAGAAAGGTAGCGTGTTATTATATTCCTTTTTCATGGTAAATGTTATTGTCTCTTCTTTATCGTTTATATCATTTAGGAATGTGTCCAACAACTCTGATCCAACTGTGTAGTTGACCGTTCACTTTCATTGAGTGTCAAAAAAATAGATTCTCCACCTTTAGCGCCAATTTACTAACACCATTACAAAAATTTGTAACAGTTTTGAAATTTTCCCCCACTTTCTGAGATTTTTTAAAGTGTGAATTGGTGACGTATAAAAATAAATAAAACTTTTTATAAAGGATCATTCAAATATAAAGGTCTATATAAAGTTGACATTAGGTATATTATTTTTTTTAATCAAAAACGTTTCTTTGATAATATTTTCTTTTTTGTTTTAAATAAATTTTAATGTTTAAATATTATGTCAAATAAATATTTTTTTTTCTAAAATTAACGGAATAATCTCAGTAGTTAACTATATACGATAGTTAAAAAACTAATACAAAAGTAAAAACTTCAAATTTGTACATATACTAACAGAAGGCACTGAAGATGATCTGATTCAGATTGAAAACGTTATGCATTTCTAATTTTCGGACGACACTTTTAACAAGTTTTAATAAAAAATTTTATACCAATATATATATATATATATATATATATATATATATATATATATATATATATATATATATATAATCAATAACCCTTCTACCCTAAGGTGTTGGGTGATTGTATATACCAATATACAAATTTAGAGTTTTTATTTCTGTATTAGATTGTTTTTTCTCTTTTAATAGAAATGAAATGTTTGGATTGTTTGGATGATTTGATTTTAAAAATGTCTTGTGTAATATTTGTTAATTATATACCTTTTTAGGGGGACATAACCAGAGACCACTTTACAGTACCTCTAAACCTCTCTACCAAGGACGATCTTGGAATACAACATCATTCGGTGGAAGTAAGTTTTTTTAAATATTCAACCGAAGTAAAGTTTAATTTTTTTGTTTAACCTTATTTAATCTGCTGTAAAAAGACCATAGCCATATCCTTCAGCTTCATCAATAGACATTTATGTCATGAATGCATACTATCCTCATACTAGAATAATATTTACATATTTATATCAATTATTTTTACTTTAAGGTTCGTTAAATAGACCTGGAGCCCAAGGAAATTTGTATCAACCACCAACAAGTAAGTTCCTTTTTCTAACATACTTTACCTATATGAAACATTCTTTCCATTTACCATTGATGTGTAGATATGGACATATATTTCCATTCTATGACTCTGCAATCCATTTTTCTATGCTAGTTTCCAGGTATTGTCACAGCATCGCATTAAAATACATCCAGGTCTTAAATTTAGTATACATGGTTTTCATTCCGTTATTTTTTTAGCGTATGTGTCAATATCTATTCTATTCTGGCCACATGCCATGCCCATCTCTATTTTGACTTCTTCTTCTTAGAATGTCTGTCCGTTCTGAATGTTTGCGATTATTCTGGTTATGATGACTGTGTTGGTTGCTATACGGAATAGCTGTGTTCAGGTCTTTCTATACCATGCTCTCAGGTTAGTAAGCGAGGATTTTCTTCTATTTTGTCCTTGAATTTTACCTTGAAAAAAAAAAAGATCCACGCTTTGGAACCTAAACAGAAAAATGTAGGTGATCTGATTATATTTCTTAGGAAGTGGTTTATTTTTACAGATGTGATATATGCTAAGTAAATACATAATGATTTCCTTGGTTTAACAGCTTTAAAATTCATCTTGATCTTTGCCGATAGGACATTGTGATCCAAAGATATTAAATTATTACCATCGAACCGATGCAACTTTTAAACACTGATGTTGCGCGTGTAACTGATACTCAAATCACCGATCGCTTCAAACGTTGTTTCTGAGAGACCGGTTCATTCTATACAAAAATTGCTAATAAATATTTTCGTTTAAAATTATCTCAGCTATATTTTTTATTCGAAATATTTTTTTCTACTTCGTACAGATTTATGGTAAATCGATTTTTTTGCATTTTTATCCCCATGTGAGGAGGGCTTTATGGGAAATCCCGGGGATTAAAATGGTAAAATTTTTTGCATGTTTTTTAGGTTCTCAGAATTGACATTCTTGGCAAAACTCTGATTGTTCATATGATTTTTAGAGGTTCAGTGACATTTTCATCTTTGGCGACTGGACTAATAGTCGATTGTTCGAACATATATCAGAACTTTTCCACATGTTTTCTATTTAATTGTATATGATATAATCTCTACACGATTTATAATCTATATACAATAACCGATTTCAGTCTTCATATCATCGTTGAAGAACCAAAACCGCGTAAGTGCCAAAAAGGTAATTTTTCAGAAGCCAGTAAAAACTAATTAATAGAAAAGTTATCAATAAAAGTTAAAAATAAAATATCAAGACAGCGCTGGAGGAAAGCACAGAAGGCATAAAGATAAATGGAGAAATAATTAATAACATAAGGCATGCTAATGACACTGTGATTCTAGCAAGTACCATGGAGGAACTGAGTTGGCTAATGAGTAAGATATAAAAAACAAGTGCACAATACGGACTCAGACTAAATATCACAAAAACCAAATGGATGTTAGTAAGCAAAACCCACCAACCACCACAGCAACTGATATTAGACAATAAAAGAATTAAACACGTGGATTCGTACATCTACTTGGGAACAACAGTTAACTCAAATTGGGATCAAGCGAAGGAAATACGTATAAGAGTAGAAAAAGCAAAAGCATCGTTCACTAGCATGAAGCAAATTTTCACCTCTAAAAGCCTCACCCTACCTCTCAAAATTCGACTTCTGAAATGTTATGTATTCCCGGTTTTGTTATATGGAATGGAGGCGTGGACAATGACCGCAACATTAATGAAAAAAGTAGAGAACTTCGAAATGTGGGCTTACCGACGTATATTACGTATATCCTGGACTGAGCACGTGACCAACGAAGAGGTACTACGCCGGATAGGTAAAGAGAGAGAGAGGTAGGAATAAGTATAAAGAAAAGAAAGTTAGAATCCTTGGGTCACGTTATGAGGCATAATAAATATAGAGTACTACAGCTGATCGTTCAAGGGAAAATACACAGCAGAAGGGGTCCAGGGAGGAGAAGATACTCGTGGCTCCAAAACTTGCGGCAATGGTTCGGATTGTCATCTGCTGAACTATTTAGATCTGCCGTAAACAAAGTCAGAATAACAATGTTGATTGCCAACGTTCGGAACGGACAAGGCATATGAAGAAGAATCAATAAAATAACACAATTTTGACCTAAATGATTAAGTTCTTGATTGTTTAAAAGCATGAAAAAGTTTTTATCAATATTTTAACGGAATTACATAATTGCAGTTTATTTTGTTACTTGGGTGTTATTTGGTGTTATAAATTTATAGAAAAGTAAGATAGGCGGTTTTGTGTTCTACATAATAAATAAACAAAATTAAGGAGGTATTTATTTGTTAAAAAGAAAATAACATTGATAAAAAAAAATTTAATATCCATACGATCATGTGGCAGCTGATCGTAATACAAATGACAATCATGCCTCAAACAAGTTTTAATTCTTGAAGGTTGTTCCTTTTGGAATAGATCAACTTTCGCTCCTCTTGGTTTAAAGGCATTCGCGAGTAAATTAGCATGAATGATTTTTTTCTGGTTTTCTTGGAAAAGCAGAATAGTCAAAATAGTCATTAAAATTCGTTTTTACAGTTATTTCACCGTTACTATATTTTATGGCCTTAATATCCACTACTGTTGGAACACCAGCTGATCTACCTGCTCTTATGGAGTCATATATAAAACATTTTTCTAAGAATAATCTTCAAAAAACTTGTAGTCCAGATAGTAACTTCTATATGGAAATGGTTTACGTCGAGCCTCTTTTGTAATATCAGAATACTGACCGGGAAGAGAAATATCTCGATTTTTTAATTTTGCTTCAATCGCGCTATAAACGGTAATATCAATGCTAATATACCATTCTTTACTAAAGTGTAGCAGGGCTTTAGACAAAACTGCATTTCTGGATTTGGATAGTTACGGCCATCCAACCAAAGGCTAACTGGTAACTGTTTTTTTTTTGCAAAGTGTTTTCCAAATTATGTATAATGCAAAAGGCAAATGTAGAAGATACCAATTCTGTGGCTGTTTTATCGAACCAGTAACAAACCGGGTCATGAGTGTGTATGAGCTTTTAAGGCTCTTTCTTTGTCTTATCCTTTTTCAATTCGTGCTCTTTCTTTATTTTGTATATATGTATATTACACTCAGCTTTAGAAATGTTTCCACTTTTATGAGCACAACATAAATCGCACTGATCTTTCCTCATATTAAACAGTGAAAAATTCAAAAATAAAAAGGTAATCTTTCGAGATACAGACTGTACAGTTGCGAAAGTGATGTTACGATAGGCTCTAAATACTTCCTTGTTGTTGTTTGTCTGCAGTAGTGGGAGCGTATCTTTGGTAGAGAACTGAAATAACTTTTAACGAAATCTTTGTCCTTTGTGTGTTGCTTTGCAGCAGTCTCTCTAGATTTTAATTAAGTAACTTTACAATAACAGTAGCTTTCAGTCCATTTTTTAATACCAAATGTACTTAAGTAAGTTTTACAACAAACTTGTCTTCTAATCCCATCAATATTAATTAGGAAATATGGTGGCGATGAGTGGCGTCTAGAATTTTCAGCTTCGCTTCTTCGTCGTCTGATAGTGTGTTTTCAATTATATTTACAATAAATGATTTTAATTGGACCCATGTTATGGTTTTCTAAAACGAACTAAAAAGTTCTTGTCCCTTCTACTCGGTAATTTCATTACAGGTTCTAACCTTCTATTTTTGGCACATATCAGAAGAACACGGTGATCCATTTTTTGGTTGACCTCTCTCAATATGCTGATATATTTTTCCCTCTCTGGTTTTTCGATACCCTAAATACCCAATCTTCCCCTTGCATCCTCAAATTTTTGTTTTTAGGGTTTTTCCATTCCTTTTCGTTGACAAGTAGTAATTTCTTTAGTGCATGTCCATTTTCATCAAAAAGTATCCCTTCCGCATCTTAAGAAGATGAATTAGCTGGTTCTATATCAGTATCATCTATTTCAGGGTCATTAGTTCCATTTGTAGGAGTCTCCTCTAAATCAATGTCTTCCGGTTCAATTTCAGCTACAATTACTTTATTGAATATACTACAGTCCAAATGAACAGAAGATAAATAAGCTAGCTTATTTTCTTTTTTAAATATACCACGAACCAAAGGAACGGTTTTGAATTCAGCAAATGATGTTGATGCATTTTCGGTAAGATTTCTTAATATTTTCTCTAATGTGTATGGTTAAAATTTTCTTATCTAATGAAAAATCTGCAGATGTTGAAGCTCCCGGAAATGAGATGAAGTTCCTGAATATGAGAACAGCAATTTACGAGTTTTCTCTCTATGATCCTTAATATTGGAACGTACATATGAGTCCGCTAGATGCAAAACTTTGTATTTACTGTATAAGTCAAACTAAGTTATTTGCAAAAAACTGATAAATTTTGCAAAAAACCTTAGGCATAATAAATGCCACTTTTTTGTGATAGATAAATGCATTATTAGGTAAAATATAATGTTTTTTTTTTCTTAGAAAAGCTATTGGGTTTGCTAGAAAAGGAAGAAAAATTTGAAAATACCGAGTTTTGTAAGTGAACTATGTAAATACAAATTTATGCAACTAACATTTGCAAATACATGATAATAGTCAACCATTAACGATATTAGTGGTTGTTATATTAGTCTGTTTTCTAAACCTAGTCTGTTAGGAATAAGGAAGAAAGCATGTGGAAGTAAACTTTTAGTGAAGTTTATTTTTATCCAAAGTACCAAAGGTATTACAAATTATAATATGTATATATTTATATTAATTCCTAAACTTTAAGTTCCTCTGTGTCCTCATCATCAATATGATCATTTTCTGCAGCACTCTCGTTATTATTTGCTTGTACATCAGTATCTATAATTTTATAAAATTTGAGATCCGGCTGGTCTCTCCAATTTTCACCAAAATAGTTTCTAAGGAGAGTGCCTATGGACGATTTATCTCCTTTCAATGAACATCCAATCTGTTGTAACTTTGGTTTCAATAAAGAAATCTTTTTCCCTTTTCGTATTATAGACTTGCTGAACCCTATGTCAGAACGATAAAATATTTCCTCCCTTACCGTAGCCATATAATCTTTGTCCTTAGAAAATATAAATCGTTTCGTTGCATTACATTTAAAATGCCACTGGGAAGGTTTTTTAATAACAACGTCACTCGTCTTTCTCCAGTCTGATATCTGCCAGTCTTTACCAAGTCTCAGCACCTTTGAGTGTTTTCCAATTATGTCTTTATATTTTTTTCTGTTTATTATAAAGTTCTTCTTTTTTATCTCGCTTTTTATCATACCGAAAATCCTATCTGGTGGCAAAAAGGAATGATCAACAACAGGAAACATAAACTCCACTTCCTTGATGTGACCAGGTGCTTCATAAACCAACCAGTAGATTATCATAGACATTATCGTGCTATTTTTGTTCTGTCCACCACATCCATCTGCAAATAGGTGAACTTTTTCGATTTGATTTTTAAAATTAATGAGAAATAAGCCGCCTGGTCATAAAGCTTTGGCAAAGAAAGATTTTTTTGACAATAAAAAAAAATATTTGTATGTTATGATTTGATTCATTTTTTAACAAAGAATAAAAGGCTTTAGTTCTTAACGTATGAACTCTCTGCTCTGTTATAACCTTTAACTTTTCTTCTTCTGAATTTTCTTTTCTCAAAATTTCCTTCGCTCTGGGACACGCAGAACAAGCATCTACTAAGGGAGTGCCGAATGATATGTTGTAGTGTTCATTAAAGTATGTTCGGAAATATGATAACTTTACGAAATGATGTGGATGACGTTGACAATACATTCTGTAAAGCTTTGTAAAATTCAGATCACATGGTAAATACAATCTAGTCGATCGTCCTCTATTATAATGACTCTCTGCACCGTTTAAACGCCCCATAAATGTTTGGATAGATAATTTTATTGGATCAAATCTACCTTTTGTTGTATCTCCCCCTCTACTCTCTTTTGGTATTTCACCCCGGATAACAAACGTTCTTACAACACGCTCTATTCTTTCAGAACTTAAATAAGTTATTCCAAGAAATGCTGTCTTGCATACTCTTAAAAGTCCACCCTCTACTGTAGAAACAAAATATTTAATTGAAATTCCATGTAGGTTTGTACCTGATGTCTTGGGTTTTGACCTTTACAAAATTTCAGCAAAAAAATATCTTGTTTTATTTTGTCAGTTGTTGAATACAGATTATTATGGAAACGCTGAATGTCTCGCATCTTTAAATCTATAAAACAATACACTTTCTTTGTATGGTTACAGGTGGGAAAACCGGGTAAATCCTTAGGTTTATGCCTAAAAATATTGACAATAAGTCCCAAATCTATCTAGTTAATTGTAGACACCTCTTACCTCTTAAGTTTCATTACATTTCGTTTCCATTTTTCTGTTTGTACAACTCGTTTTCTCCCTTTTCCTTTTTCACGAGGTCTAATATGCACATGAAGATCCATAATGTTAATTAATTGCAATAAACTTGGCGTTTTTAGTACTCAAATAACGAACAGTAAAACCGGTAATGGCGAATGATGGAATAATTGCCATGTGCACATGAGACGTGTCATGTGACTCAAACAATGTAAGCGATTGGCCAATTGCAATTACACAGTTATGCAACTGGCATAGGCTGACAAATACAGAGTTTTGCGTCTGACTCAAGATTTATAATGCTTTTTTCTTAGTAAATACCTTACTTTGCTGCTGAATTTCTACATCAGCAGATAGCTATAACATGTGACAAATAACTGTCAGCTAAAACTAAATTTTTACAATTTTTGCAAATACAGAGTTTTGCATCTAGCGGACTCATATATAAAATATTTGTTTATTTTTAATTAACTCACATAAAATAAGTTTATGCATTGTGAGATATATAGAACAATATAATTCTAAGTAATACGCCAAAAACTAATATAATATAAATATAAAAACAAAAAATTAAGCTACTATATTTTGTCTTCATTGGATTATTAATTTTACTTAAATAAGTACCTCTTATCTACTTGAATTTTATACGTATGTAATGGCAGTTATAACGAACAATACCGCCCAACTCCATGGTTAACTTTCAGTATAATTTTTACAAATAAACTTTTTTTTTATAATTTTATTAAAATGTTGTAATTAACTAGCTAAGAACTAAGCTAGATATATTTGACTAATTAAACTTACCTTTTTTGCTTGTAATTTGGCACAAAACACAGAGCGATGCAACCTACTCTTAATATTACACCTGTTTGACAGGAGAACGGCGGTATTTTTAACAGAATGTACAAATAGCGTCACTAGAGGGCGTGTCGTTTGTCGAAATTAAAATGTATACAAGTCAAATGACGCAGAAGAGATGTGTCTATGTAAAGGAACCGTAAAGTACATTTGGTGTAAAATGTCACTTAGGCGGTTTTGGTTCTTCGGCGATAATATATTACTTGATAGTGCAAACACTCGTGACCATGGAGCTGCGAGAAGGCGGAGTCAAAATTCACGTAAAGGCAGAAAGGAGTCAAAATTCACGCAAAATTCACGTAAAGTGGGGTCTAAACCAAATTTCGTCTACTGTGCCGTGGCCAGGAGTGCTTGCACTATCTCTACTTGTTTGAGAATGTAGGCATGAATTTGTGAATTTCTGATTTTCCATACATTGTATAAGGAATTTTATATTTTTGTTATTTATATTATATTCATGTATCAAATCATCTAATTATGAACATGCAATGAAATTGGTAAAATTGTTACATTTTTGTTCTAAACTGTTTGTAATTTTTTTTTGCATTATGTTTGTTATTATATTTCACTTTCTTAGTTTTGTTTAATACTTATCGAATTCTTTCTTTCTCTTTTCTTGCTGAAATATATGTTAGTGAGTTTTTGATTGTTTTGATATTTTTACCATTTTTTTTATGTTCAAGTACCCAATAAGCATCCGTCCGATTATATTTTGTATTTTATTTAATATTAAAGTATTATTTTCAGGCTACCGAAATACTTATACGACCGGCTCTGGAGTACACCCACACTATCCTGTTCAACCGGTATTGCATCCTATTTACACACAACCATCAACAACAATAATTTACAACAACAACCATTATTATGGAGGTTCAACATATTATCGTCCCGGTTATAGTTCATTTGGAACGGGGTCCACCCACGTTACTGTTATCAATAATAACAACTACCATCACCACGTTATAGCACCTACAAGTCATTACTACAGTTATGGTCCGCCAGCTATTGGAGTAACTGTAGTGAACAATTATGATCCATTCGCAACCACACATTATCATACAACTTACCATTACTCTTCTTACGATACTGGAAGTACTTCACTTGGTTTCTTCTTAGGGTATCAATTAGGAAGAATTAGTCGACCAAGTTATTACTATCACAGTACCACCTACGTGAACAACGAATATGTTCCCAGATATGATCATTATACTGTCCATCATTATTACCATAATAGCGAATCAATACCCAAGGTAGCACCTATTCAACCTAATGCAGTTGTAGTTTGTCCAGGTGATAGCAGTAGTTTATGTCCTGCTGGTACTATGTCACTCTGTACAAATAACGGTGCAGTTATGTGCGTTGTTAATGCTATGGACACATCTCCCTGTTCTACAAACAAACAAGTTAATTGTGCCAATAGTACCATACCATGTGAAAATAATTCTTCACCAGAATGTAAACAGAAGGCATCAGCATCTGTGTCTATACCATGCGTTTCTACTGCTAACATACCAGCAAGTGTTGGTTTTATTAACAACAGTGTTATTGTAACAGACGCAAATGATCCAACTGTTAAATCTTTTTGTGTGACAGTTGTAGCCTTACCCTCAAAAAATGAAACAAAAGCAAGCAAAGATCAATTGAGTCAACACCTACTGGAAAACAGTGTACCATTCCAGTATACTACAAACCAAACTGGAGTTGATCTTTTGGGGTATTACTTAGCTCACAAGGTACAGAATTTGGTCCAACCAACTTTTAGTTATCTAAATTATGATCAAAACTACAATTATGTAGAAAAGTTCGACCATTACGACGTGTTCCAATACTATCACGGTGCTAATGTCTTGCCAAAAGAAGTAGAGGTTAAACCAGATCAGATCATGAGCTGCGCTGGAGACAGTGGTACTGTCTGTCCCCAATATACTTCATCTTTATGCCTCAATGATGGAGCAGTTATTTGTGTAGCAAACAAATCATCTACAGCCTTCAGCAATGAGCTTCAGACCAACTATCTAAATGGTAGTATACCATGCGATAAACTTAAATCTCCATTTTGTGTACATAATCGAAACACAAAAGTACCTATACAAATTCCATGTTTTTCCACTGCCAAAGTCTACGCTAATATAAGTTTAATAGAAAAAAGCTTTGTAATAGATAATGATATTCAACGTTATAAAACTTTTGAACTTTCCAACGTAACTGCTAATTCAACAGCCCAGAATATAACTGAACTTTGCGTAACTGTTTTACTTTTACCAGCAGAAAAAAACATTGCTCATGTACCCAAGATGACAAAAGTAACAGGGTTACCTAATACAGGCAATCATCTAAACTTATCAAAATATAGTTACCGAGATTTGGGCAATAACGAAATAGGACTATATTTACTTGAAACATTACCAAAGCTATCTTTCCCATCCTACTATTTTATTAACGCTTATTTGTATTCTCAAAATGGCACAGTACAAAAATACGATCATTATTCTGTACACTACCAAGAGCACGGCAGGGAAATAATACCTGCTGATTTAGAATTCCAAGCTTTTGACTTACGAGAGTGTGAAGGCGATAGTGGTGTTATCTGTCCCGTAAACACTTCCGCAATTTGTCTCAACGATGGTGGAGTAATGTGTCTCACAGATATGTTATTAACGAAATCGTGTAGTAAAAATTCTAGTACTACCTGCGTTCAATCCAATTTTGGTTGTGAAAACCGTAACCACTGCAGAAGTTTAAAGACTATAGACATACCATGTATATCAACAGCGACAATTTACGGGGATATTATGTCAGTAAACCACAATATCTACGTTAACGAACCAAACTTAGCCAAACAATACACCGATCTTCAACTTATCCCTGGAACAAACGTAAACAACACGCCAGTATATCACAAGGCACAGCAGTTTTGTGTAACAATAGTTGCTTTACCAGAAGTCAGACAATTGTCTGAAGGCGAAAAATTACTAGCAGTCGCCAATAATTTATTGGGTAACATAATGTTAAAATTGTATCGGTAAACGTAACCTCATATAAATATAGAATATAATAATTGATACTTTTTACAATATTGAAAGACTGTTAATATATGTATTTGTGTCCATAACATTTATTTTATATAATTATGAATATAATTTACATTTTAATTCATATAAATTATTGTTGTTTGTACTTGATTGGTAAAATAAATTTTATTATTTATCTGAAATTGTCCGTTATTGATTATCGGATTTTAAGGGGGCGGAAGTAGCGAAATTGTATTATTACGCTTCATAATCGGTCCGATTCATAATTCATATATTTACACTATTTACACTCTTGTTTTAAATTCACAAATCACCCAGAAACTTTTAGATAAAAATTAATTGTTTTATTAACCTTAGGAACAACCTGGGTTTAAAAGAGGTTATGAAACAAATGACCACCTTTACTTTACTCCGTGGCGTTACAACCGGTCGTGGGCTTTAGCCGACTCGACAACATGCCTCCACTGTTTTCTGTCTTGAGCAACCTCCATCCAATTCTCCACGCCCATAGTGCTTAGGTCTCCTGCTATATTATCTCGCCACCGGAGACGAGGGCGTCCGCGTGGTCTCCTTCCAGTTGGGACTTCCTCATACACCAGTCTTACTGTTCGTTCGTCAGAATGTCTTCTGAGGTGTCTTGCCCATTGGAGTCTTCTGGACTTTATTTCTTTTATGATGTTGGCGTCTGGGTAAAGTTCTTCAAGCTCTTTATTAGTTCTTATCCTATATTGTCCTGATGCTTCATCAAGCACCGGACCAAAGATCTTCCTTAGGATTTTTCTTTCCCAAACACGTAGTCTCTCTTCATTTGTCTTTGTTATCGTCCACGTTTCGCTTCCATACATCACAACGGGTCGTATGATTGTTTTATAGACCTGTATCTTCGTACGTCGTGTTAGTTGTTTTGATTTTATAAGGTTTTGGAGGGCAAAAATACATCTGTTGCCGGCTTGAATCCTGTTGTTTATTTCTTGTGATCCGTTATTGTCTTCAGTTATTGTTGTTCCAAGATACTTGAATTCTCTAACGCGCTCAAAGTTAAAGTCATCGATGGTAATGTTCTGACCGATTCTGTCTCTGCTTTGGTTATTGCGGCTCATATACATATATTTCGTCTTGTTTTCGTTGATTTGGAGCCCCATCTTCTCTGCTTCCTTCTCAAACCTTACGAAAGTCTCCTTCATCCTTAATCGCGTGTTTCCTATTAGATCTATATCGTCTGCAAATGCCAGTAGTAAGTTTGGTCCTTCTCGATGAAATACTGTATTCGGTTTTTCGATTCTTGCACTTCTGATTATGTGCTCCAGAGCTAAGTTGAAGAGTTGTGGTGAAAGTGCATCTCCCTGTTTTAGTCCATTGTTTATTTCAAATGTCTCCGAGTATTGTTGTCCAACTCTCACCTTACATCGTAACCGTTCCATACACATCCGTATCAACTGGACTAGTTTTTTTGGAAAGCCAAGTTCCTGCATCGCTGTCCACAGTCTGTCCCTACATACTCTATCAAATGCTTGTTTAAAATCTATTAACATCTGATGAAGCTCACGATCAAACTCCCAGCATTTTTCCATTATCTGTTTTATTGTGAATATCTGGTCAATTGTAGAGCGGCCCGGTCTAAATCCGCATTGATAATCTCCAACGATTTCTTCTGTGTATGTTTTGGTTCTTTCTAGCAGGATGTTTGCAAGGATTTTGTAGGTGGTGTTTAGGAGTGTTATTCCCCTGTAGTTAATACATTGCTTTTTGTTTCCTTTTTTGTGTATTGGTACAATAACCCTTTCTTTCCATTCATCTGGCATTGTTTCTTCTTGCCAAATGTCTTGAATTAGCTTGTATATCGAACTGTACAACGCTTCTCCTCCATGTTTTAAGCACTCTGCGTTTATACCATCGCTACCTGGCGACCACTGACACAAATGACCACCTACAAGCACTAAAAACCCTGATTGGAAATTGTGAATATATATTGTAACGATAAGACTACCAAAGAGAATTGAAGTACTATTGTAAAAATAATACCTCAATCAACCATGGGAGCTTATCGTCTGTACCTTGCCTAGCTCAGTATGTCAAGGGTGAGTTCGTCTTGTCTTAAACTAGGAATTGAACCTGAGTTCTCAGTTAATAGCAAATAAGACAAATTTTAACCGAACATATTTATTAAAACTAAAAAAAAAACAATAATTAACCCTGCCAAAGCTTAATAATTAATGTGTGATACTTATTGCTTCGATCGATGGGCTGCTTGTATGTTCTAGCTGTTAGGTCTCCCAATTAAAGGTTGTAGTTTATGGAGAGCTGCAGTCACACGTGGGTGTATGTTCTGATTAAATTAAGTCCTCAAATGGTCCTCATTATATTGAACGTGGCTAATACGTTTATTATGGTCAATATATTCAATAAAATGCCCAATAAAGTTGTAAATATTCCCAATAAAATTCCCAATAAACCAAAATAAAAGGAACAGCTCGCATTAGAGACACATCAAAAAGAAAGGTTTAACTTCCTTGTCATCTTACAAAATTACAATTGAACAAATAGCGTATGGCAAGGATAAAATTAAATATGATTGGTAATACTTAGTTAAATTCTGTTAAAGAGTCCTAATGCATATATAAAAAAAATGTGCTTTCGAAAGAAAGTATGGTTACATATATTGAAAATGTGGTCAGAATTATAGAATAAATATCACAATGAAAGTACTTACCCTAAGAGAATTTTTAGGCCATAAAATGAGTCCAATAATAATTTTTGCCTTCTTTTATAAATTTCAAAAAGAAGCAAAAAATAATCCCACCTCGTTAGAAAAAATGTTTTGACAGAAAGTGGGAGACTAAATAAAGTTAGCACAGATGTTATAGGTTGCATATGTTGCTATTTCATGAAACTAGCTTGTTTGTCAACACAAAACAGAAAGAGAGAGGACGAATATTTATTTTACGCGGCAGAAAGAGAGAGAAAATAAAGACAGAGGAAGAAAAGAAAAACAGGGGGCGCCAACGACTTCTTAAATAAAAATAGTAAAAATTAAACTGAAGATAAACAAATTATTAAATTACTAAAGACATTAAATTGAAATAATTATTTAAATATAAATTAATAGAGATGTGACCTTTATAACGTTACAATGTATTTGATAGCGTAAACTTGCCGGCAGTAATGAAAACAGTAGAACAAAATCGAGTAGACTATAAACACACCAAATTAATAAAACATACATACAACAATGCAACAATATATTTATGTTAAACTTCATGACCGAACAGCCTGTTCAGCTAATACGGATTCGAATTTTTATTCAAACCCATAAAAATGTGACACTTGTCTAGTGGCTCTCCTTTACAAGATTCAAATTATGTCGACCTAGTCTGTCACAAATTGACTAAGACTTTGGTTTAAACTTATTTGATTTGATAATATTTCCTTTTGAATAAACTAATGTATCGTGCATGCCGTCTGTATTGCTATAAACGAGGATAATTCACGGGAGCTCTGGAATATGCACATTACAGAAACTAGATTGGACTAAACGAGGAATAAATATTTATTACGAATACTTATGTCACTTGCGTTTTACAGACGATACATTGGTATTACAGCCGAGATTTTAAAAGCTTACAAAGTGATGGAAGGATTAAATAATAAGCAAGCCTAAACATGAGCTTTTAAAAAAACAAAATATATGACTAATTTAGTTTCAACTGATGTTAAGAGAACAGATAATAACGAAGTACATCAGATTTATAACTATGTTTACTCAGGATATGCCTTTAGAATAGGAACAGACAATCAAAGCTGTAAAATTTAGCGCCATATATATTTGAAATAAGCAGCATTTAATTCGATTTGATTCGATTCGAAAAAGTAATTATGGCCATTAAGCGAATTAAAGACGGGAAATAACCAGGACCTGATGAGATGCATGGTGAAATTTTAAAGCTATTAGAGTCACACCAAATCACACCTCTTACGAAGCTTTTCAACAACATCTACGAGAATGGTTACTTACCAAAAGAATGACTACTATCAATATCCATTCCACTCCCTAAAAAAGCCAACGCTAGAAAATGTGAAGAACATAGATTAATTAGTTAAATGAGCCATGTACTTAAAGTGCTTAAAAAGTTCCTAAAGAACTTTTTAAGTTCTAATACAGAGAGCCAGGGATGTCAACTGCGATGTGTATGCATCTTTCATTGATTTCGAGAAGGCGTTTGATAAAGTCACACATAGGAAACCAATCTATATCCTAAAAACATCAGGACTCGATAGTAAGGACATAAGACTGATCTCAAACTCATATCTCCAACAAAAAGCAACAGTACGATTAGAAAATGAGATCTTCACAGTCGAAAAAGGAGTTAGACAGGGGTGCATATTGTCACCGGCATTATTTAACATATAATCTGAAAACATCTTTAGAGAGGCATTGGATCGTCATCTTTGAGGCCTTCGATCAGCATAATCAGAAGATGGGATTGCTGCAAATAGCCAACTTATAAACAACATTAGATACGCAGACGATACAGTGTTGCTGGCAGATAGTGCACAGGGGTTCCAAAGGATGATAGATAACGTTGTAGAAACATGTAACAAATATGGCCTAAAACTAAATTGCAAGTAGACAATAAAATATTGATTATTAGTAAGAACACCGGCATAAACGGCCAAATTACAATTAACGATACGCCGTTAGAAAGAGCGGAAAAAATATGCTATTTGGGCTGCAATATTAAAGATACTTGGGATCACATCAATGAAATAAAAACTCGTATTGAAAATGCCAGAAGCTCTTTCAACAGTCTTAGGAAGATTCTCTGTAACTTATCATTAAAGTATCAATACACGCATAAGAATTCTTAGATGTTACGTCTTTAGTGTCCCCCTCTATGAAGTAGAAGAAGTATGGAGTAAAATTGGGTTACTTCGGTCACATCATGCGTAATAATAAATACCGACTTCTACAGTTTATTCTACAGGATAAGAGAGATCCTGGACGTAGACGTATATCCTAGCTGGCCAATCTTAGGAAATGGACTGGTCTAACGTTAACTGATCTATTTCAAACTGCTGTGTATACAATAAGATGGGTCAATGTGGTCGCCAACATCTCTAGAAGGTAGGCACATTTAGAACATTTGATAAGAAGCGACATATCCTCAAAGATGCTAAACATTC